ATTTTACCCGCTGCATATATATATATACACACACACACATACGTATATATAAAAAATATTTCACATATTATGGTTAAATTTATTTAACTGATGTTATTAGAACACATCCAGGAGTCCAGATTTTTCAGGTAATCGTCATGTTTTTGGCATTCATACAAAAATAACTTACTGTACTACGATAGTAATTATACTGAGGGTCGTTACTCAGGCCTGAGCAGATTTAATCAGGTTAAGTAAATAACTCACCTCTGAAACAAACAGGGTACTGGGGTCAATAATGTCAACAAAATGTCTCAGACGACCAAGGAATGAACCCTGAGAAAGACCATAAGGCAAAGTTAATTATTAATTAAAGTAAATGCATTTGGGTTTGTGAGCATCCCTTCCTGTTAATGTCTCTTCTGTTTGCTTCCAAGAAAACATTTGTTATACCTGAAATATTGCAAACAAACTGGATTAACAAGAGATGCTACAAAGGATTAGGCAGAGCTGATGGATCCTTTAAAATAATGCGAAAGGAATTTGTGTCAAAATATTATAAATAAAATATAATGATCAATAAATGCAACAAAGTAACATCATGTAATGCTATTAAAAGGTCTAGAATAATGTTAATGTTCAGCAGGAAAGAAAATGTGACTTCGATCAAGATTAACGTTTTGGTGGATAAATCGGAAACAATCAGTGTAATTTAACATCTACTCTACACTTTCTTCCATGTGAAGCTTGAAGCTGGACAAAGCATTCTGTTTGGTGTTTACTTCATCAGCGGGCCAGTAGCTGAGAATGGATGCCAACACTCTGAAAGGCCACGAAAGCAGCTCATGCCAAGAGTCTATTTGGCAACCTGGCTGAACAAAACAAAAAAAAAACATGGCAACCAGATTCTCTCTGAGACATTTATCAGTTATGAAGCGTAGGAAACACAGCAGGAAGGCCGCCCCTGCTTTAATTACCGCAGTAGCTGCAGATCCTAATTAAAACGACTGAAAATAAATACCTTCGGTGCTCAGAAAGATGGGAGACAAACAATCTACGGCTGCCGTTGCCTCACTGAATGTGTCGTTTCCTGACAGGCCGAATGTGCTGCAGCGCTGAGCTGTGAGAGGATCCGTGCGAGGAGCCGGCTTTAATTATTCATGAGTTTCAGCTCCCCAGAGAGCGCACAACAAGGCAAAGATGGAAGCCGGGGCACCGTGTGTGTGTGTGTGTGTGTGTCTATCTGTGTGTGTGTGCAGGCAAAACCAGGCAAGATTTGTGCTGATTCAAGAGGTGGCCTCATTTTGAGCTGCAACACCAGCAGCATCTTTAACAAACTGTCACCAATGACAGATTCCTGGTGTAAAACATTGCAAAGAAAACAGATTATCTGGGTCAAGGTTTGAAACCAAACGTGTATTTAAAGACAGCAAATTGTGTGGCGCAAGGGAGATTCATTTAAACTTTTTTAAAACACACARGAAAGAGTGAAGCCTGTGATTTAGGATTTCTCGGAGGAAAGAATAATCCTGTGTTTATTAATGGTGGTGTGTTCATAAATAAATCATAACAGAGGGTCCCCTGGTACACATATGTAAAGAGACCCCACCCTTTTTATATAAGAACTGAACATTGTGAATAAATTTTTCCCTTATTTTCATCTTCCCTGTAAAGCATTCACTACCGAGGTCCGTTTTTCAGCACGTAACGTCTTTAGTTTCAAATATTCACGTATCAAAACATTCAGCTCCGTCAGCATGCTCCTGTTATATTAGTGCAATTTTTACTTTTTGAAATATTTAGCTTTTTCWGYCACTTTATTGTCATTGAAAACAAATCGTTTCCTTCAAGCCCGTTGTGATGTGCTCGTTTCACCTGTTCTGGTTTCTACAGCTTGTTTGTGCTCATTTCAGCTTCCTTCACCTCCTTTCTGCTGCTAATTTCAGATTTTGACTTGTTTCAACTCCCACCTGCTAGTTTAAGTTTTATATGCTCCTTTCAGCTACTTTCTGCTAATTTCAGCTTTTCTTTTTGAATTAATTCAATTMAATTCAAAAATACTTTACTGATCCCAAATTAGGTATGTCAGATATTTTCTGCTTAATTCAGCAAACATGCTTTTTTTTTGTTATTGTTCTTCTAATTTTAGTGTATTTTTCTGCTACTTCGGTGAACTTTCAGCAATTTTTCTACTAGTTTCAGCTTTTCACTGCTGATTTTGGGTTTTTTTGCACTGTATTTTAGTAGGAAATGCAATTTGTCTAATTCAGTTTAAATGGCATATTTGAGTGTTTTTGTCTTCTGTCACTTTCACGGTCATTTGCAATTATTTTATGTCTTTTGAGCCTCAATCTCTTTTGCATCCCCTTGTTGGTTATTTTTCYGAATTTGATCGGTTTTGATGTTCTTAATAGGGGTGTAAGAAAATATCGATACACTGAAATATCRCGATATTTCATTTCCCGATACTGTATCGATATTCTAAAGCCCTGTATCGATTTTTAATTAAGGTTTAAAATGTCAACCTTCTTGCCAACCGTTCATTTTTATGCTGTAGTTCAGCCTCTGACCACTAGTTGGCAGCAGTGAGCCAGCCATTCGGCTCCTCTACCTCTTGAGCACCAGATGYAAGTAAACATTAGCTTTTCTATTTTTTYCAGTAAGAGGTTTTTATTTAATAGAATTTTTGGACAAAAAAATCGCAATATATTGCCTTGCTTACAGTATCGCAACATATCGGGATATATCGTATCGTGACTCCTCTGTTATGATATGTATCGTATCGCCAAATTCTTGCCAATACACAGCCCTAGTTCCTAAAGCCTGTTTTTTTTAAGTTGGTCTGTAATCATATCCTGTGTGCTTCAACCAGGCCAGTTTCGTAAAAGTGAGCAAAAGTTAGGAGCTCAAAATAAGTAGATTTTTTTTCATCCGTTGATAAATTATTTTTTTCCATATGGTACTACTCATTTGGGTGTTATGAAGACCACTCCGAAAATTTAGCAAAATCTTGAGTTTAAAAGGTGAGCTGTGTTGTTGCCACCCTGCTTTATCAACTTTTTTGTTCCTGACCATTGTCTCACTCGTTTTGTTTTGTTTTTTTTTTCCTTTGAATTCAGCAGCAGATTCACTCTTTTATTTCAGCTTAAACAGCTTTGCTGAGATTCTATCCAATTCCACCATTTTCTACAGACACACAATATAGGCACATTGTGGTTTTCAACACATTCAGCCTTATTAAGCACATAACGAAAGAAAACTACAAATAAGAAAACTACTAGAGTAAACTCTCTCAAACTGCACCATTTAATATAGTYCAGGAAATATTTTTAGGTTGRTTTTTGCAATGAGAAYCTTTAAATATTTGTTTTGACAATAAAACATAAAAAAGCTGCATCAAACTTAGCACAGAAAGTAAGTAAATGTGTGTTTGATTATTTGCTGTAATGACACTTCTTGGCAATAAATCTTAAACTGTTAGAAAGCCTGATAGTTTCCCCTTTAAATGGTGCCACATTTGTAAGGAACATGCATTTGTGATATATGAGCAGTAGAGTTGAGTTTGTGGGTTGTGCACGTAAAAAAATTTTTGCCAAAACTTATTTTGTCGTTGCTCCTGATCTGGGCAGGTGCTGCTAATCTGGTGCCTGCTGCCAGCATTTACAGTTACAACAAAGAAATAATCCACCAAACACATATTTTCTTACTTTTTGTGCTAAGTTTGTTTAAATGACATCATCTAATGAACTTTCCTCCRTCCGGTCAATCATTTCCTTGAGGTTTGAATAATCAATTAACCAATCAATAAGTTTATTCACTCAATTCAACAATTTTATCAATAACACGCAAAACATATTTTTCTTGTAAGACTATACATGAGTGAAAAGGAAGCAGAAAGCAGAAAAAYCTTGTATAAACCTGCTCCTTTCTCAATAATTACAATTATTTTTTTTCCATGGCCACATACATTAAATCAAGAATATAAATTGCAAACAATATGTCATTCTCGTCATTGCTAACTCAAAAGTGTATGAGACTTAAT